ACATAAAAATGCCCATCACATTTCTTACCAGAGAAATGTAAATTAAAACCATACTGAAATTCCATTGTATTCCAGAAATAATGGCTCTCAAAAATCAAATAATAACAACCTATAAGTTTGCAAGGAAAAATGAATACTACTATATTGTTGGTGGGAATGTAAACTAATGCCACTACTATGGAAAGCAGTATGAAGATTGCTTAAAAAACCAAAACTAGAAGTTCCACTGGACACAGTCACTGGTCTTCTAATTATCATCCCCAAACAGTTAAATGTATCATATTTTAGTGATCTATGCATACCCATGTTTGAAGCAGCACAACTCATAATAGCTCAGTTTTGCAAATGGCCTCATTTATCCTTCAACAGATAAATGGAAATAAAAAGTGATATTTATTCACTGCAGTGTGCTCTGTCATAAAGGAAATATTTGTGCAGAAAAATGAATGCACCTTGAAGCACTAATATTAAGTGAAATAAACCACACACAGATACTTCAATATCACATGGCTTCTCTTTCAAGAGAAACTCAAATCATAAATAATTGAAAGAAAAAAATAAAAGATATGTAATAAAAACAACAAGATAGATCTTCGGCAAATGGAAGCAGACAGAGATGTAGAAGATAGGTAAAGAAGAGCAAGTAAAAAGTATCATTAGGATGTCTTATGTACATGTACCAAATTGCCATGATGAATGTAGTCATCACATGCAGAGTACATGTATCAATAAGATTATATATATATATATATATATATATATATGTGTGTGTGTGTGTGTGTATATATATATATATATATATATATAATTGGATAAATAAAATTTCAGTGCAGTATTAAGGAAAAATAAACTATAAGGACAATTATGTTATCTTTTACTAAGTATTCAAACTTCAGTACATAATAAATGGAACTAAGGGAAGCAGAAATTACTGGAGAAGGAAAATAAGCAAAGTCTCCATATTTACTCATTTCATTAAAATAAAAACAAATCTAAAAATGATACCATGCAAAAACTATGACAAGCTAACATACAAATATAATGTTAGGAGAATGACAATGGGGAAGGGGTGTATGACAATTCAAAATCAATAAAGTATGCTTCTTATCTTAATTACACGTACAGCAGATAAATAGCTGAGAGATTCTCCATTAGTGCCATAATGTTGTTGCATTAAAATAAGATATACATAGTAATTAAAATTATGAAATGATTCATAGATCAGCATAGCTAAAAAAAACATAGTTAAAGTGTGGAATATAACTGAACATTAAAGAAATAATGGAACATCAGCAAGTAAGTTGATTTCAGATATTAATACAACTTATGATTGGACTATTTATATAAATTACCATGTGAATGTGTAATTGTGTCGAAACAATAAAATATGAAACTAATTTTGATTTTTAAAAGAAAGTATTTACTGAGGAAATTATGACAAAAAATACTTCTAACACTATGTCGTGTGTATCTCTAATAACCAGTGAAATCACATGATACCTATTAGAATATTTTCTAATTATAGTTTATAGATGCCTTCCAAAGTTGATGTCATTGTTCTAAAAATAAAAACAATACCATAAAATTATACATAAATATTTAGTAAGATAAAAACATTTCATTAGTCTACTACATATTTTTAGAAAAATCTTTAAAATAAATTAATAACAAGAATTAAAACAAATTCAATAGAAATGATTGCAAGCACATATTTAAACTACCTATAAACACATGTAACATAAAAATAGTTTAAATTTTAAAATGGTCTATGCCAAAAACATAAACCACTAAAGGAAAGTAAAAATATAGTCATTTGTTCAGGTGAAAACATTTCAAATTCAAACATCCACATCTTCCTCAAATTAATGTGTAAATACTTACTTGCAGAAAAAAGTCCCAAAGAGATTATGGGGTGATTATATAAAATATAATGAATTTTTAATTAAGTTTAATGAGAGAGTATAGAAAATATGAAAATAATAAATAGAATATATAATGTACTATATTTGTGTACATGAATATCTATGCTTACATGATGTCCTGATTGAATTTATATTTCTATAATTATACATGTATGATTATACGTTTCATGATGTACATTATCATAATAATATTAATAGTCATATAGAATAATACATATTATGAAAAGAGAAATCTAAAAATACAGGTAAAATTTAAATAAAATGTTTATGGGAAAAGCACATTGCCATTAATTCCTTCAAAATACTCTCCCTGCTTCAAATACACTTTTTGCAGCAATTCTTAAAGTTCTTTTTTGTGATTGCTTTATAAAATGTGATAAAAATTAAGGTCAGTGCTGTTACACAATACCATCCAATAGAAAGTAGGTTCATTTTAAACTGCATATGCTACAAGCATGTACAACAAAAAATACATATATAAAATTCACCATTTTCAACAGGTCTGACATATTGCAACTTCTGGTTCTTCCATGGAGTCAAAATCAGCATGAAATTTGAATATTTTGAATCAAATCAGAAAAGTAAAAAAGCCATGAAAATGCAACTAAAGATTCTTCTTTAAAGAAACTTCTAGAACTGCCTCAATAGGTGGCGAGATTTATAGATTAGTAAGTCCAAAGTAAGAGAGGGTACTTTGAAAGGGATTAATTGCAGTGTGTCTTTTACAATAATAATTTTAATGTAAGCACATGTATTGACAAAGCATATTTTTCTGATATACATGAATGAATGATATGGAAACTATAATCTACAATTTTAAACATATCTAAACCTCAATGAAACCTGAAGGGGTCTAATACCTGTGAAAGCATAAGGAAAAATAAAGCACCCATGTGACAAAAATGTGACTCAGGAGAAAGAGGAAATCTGTGAGGTATTGGAACAGACTTTCCAGCACGATTCTCCACACTGACATAACAGTTTCAAAACCACTCACCAGTGAAAATAGCTTCACAACAGCTAAAGAAATAGGTGAGAGATTTCAGCACCTGGACATTGCACAAAAGCGAGAAAAGACACCTTGTCAGGGAAAGGGATGACGTGTTACATTATCTATGTCACTTTTCCCCATCAGCAAGCAGCAAAGCACGCAGGGAAATATCCACCTATCAGGCAGTCCCACACTGACATCCAGTACCCAGTTCTCAGGAGGGAATTGGAGTCAGGCTGGGACCTCCTCCAGACTAATCTGTGTGCGCAGTCCTCAGGCCTGTCACAGGGCCAAGCCTGCTCCAGCATGAATGGAATTATGAAGAAATCTGCATTCACAAAGTGTTCAGGGTTTTTGGAGGATGGTCTGGCAATAGCAAACTGACGTGACTATTTTTAGTTTAGGGAGTGTGTTTCTAAGTGTTTATCTTGGGTATTACTTTTGTGTACATGAAATATATTTACAATGATAATCAAAATTAGCTCTTTACAATTGTGGAAAATTAGAAGTATAAGCATTCATAAATTGAATTATTTAATTTTAATTATTAGATACTAGTGACATTTACTTTAGTTTGACTGTTTACATTACAGACTGTTCTAGATCTATACCAATTATTAATGCTTGTTTATAACTGAGGTCAGTGATTGTTTTTGAAAGTTATTCTATTCTAGTCGCTACATATCACTCATATTACTCATATTATCTCACTCATATTAAGAAAAATAGATTCTTAAAAGTCATTCAGTGTAACAAAATTGGATAGAGCATTCAATTTAATATTTATTTGATGTAGCGACTCTGTAGTAAGCCTATGGATATAACAATGAATGAAGCAGTCAGAATTCTGATATTAATACATATGCCAGTGAAAAGAAACATAAAGCAATAGTATAAGCAATTTCAAGAATAGTGAGTAAACATCATTTGGAATAATGTGCCCACTAGGATATTTTTAATGAGGTTGGCAATGATATTTCTCCATGTGGATAAATTTTGAGCTAAAATCTGAATGATGACTGGGATGCAAGCACATAAAAAATAATATGAAATGTAAACTGCAGCTCAGGCAAAGGAAAAACAAATTCAGAGTCAGTTGGGTTAGGTATTCGCATGTTTGAGTCAAGGATTTTGAAAAGGGCAATTTGGTTAACAATGACCAAATACACTAACAAAAATTAAAAAATGGATAAAGAAACAAAAAGCAGAGTAGGTTAAAAAAAAGAAACAAAACACTCATTGGGTCCCTGTAGGTAAAGATTTGCATGGTAATCTAATGGCAGAGATTTCTTACAGAGGACCAATTTACTGTTTGAACTTATGCAAGAACTGTTCAAAGAGCATCCTCAAATGGGCTGCAGGAAAAAGAGAAGCAGGAAGACCACACTAAAACCTTTGGCTGCTGTTTGCACAGAATTTGCAATTAAGTTTGCTTAGAATCACGGTTCCTGTGAAGATGAAAAGGGGTGGTGTCTGCCACCCTGAGGATCCATTATATAGTGACTAGAAACACTTTTGCTTATCACCCCGAAGGGTTGGCAGGGAGTAGGGGACCCTCTGGCATCTAGTGGACAGTCCGGATGCTATTAAACACCCTACAATGTACAGGACAGAACTCTGCACCAAACAGAAAGTTTGTTAGGCCAAATATGAGCAATACTGAATTTGGAAATTCCTGATGTAGTGGTGTTAAAGTCCTGGAAATGCCCAAACACTGGAATATATGTGTCATTCAAAGACTCTCGGACAATTTTAGCAGAAAGTATGTATTTTCATGAAATGTATTTGATAACTCTTTCATTAGAAGTAAATATCAAGTTTCTGTTTTATTTGGACAGAACACCAATATATTTGCCAGTTATGATGAATAAAATTTTAAAACATCAGAAATCTAAAATAAATCTGAAGTGCAGCTGAGCATCAGAGTACTGGCCTAGCCCATACATAGCTCTGAATCCATTACCATAAAAATCCTTAAACTATGTTAATATTTTCTCTTTTTTGTCTAACCAGCTTACTATTATTTACAAAACAATATTTAATTAATTACTGGCCCCTAGAAAATACAGAAAAAAAAATCTACTCACTTGCCATTCAGTGCCGCTACACCGACTGTGCTCCGAGCTATGGACATACTGGCCACAAAAGTCCACTGCTGGCTCTGCGGATCCCACCTCTCCACTGTGTTCAGGTAACTCCAGCCATCGTGACCTCCCACAGCATAAATGGGCCCTTCAAGCACTGTCACACCTGAAACATTGGAAAAATTGACATGTGCTTGTAGTTATCAGTATCAGAGTGTAGTCTTAAAAACCTGTGAAGAGAGTGGCTCTCCTGTATGTTCTTACCACGATGAAATAAAAATCAAATTTGAATATATTGAATGAATTTCACTCACAGTGATCTTTTAAAGATCAAATTATCAGTACAGCCTACTGTTTCATTCAGCCTAGACACCAGTTAGTAAACAAGTGTAATAAGGTGTGATTGATCATATCATTCCACTAAAGTGAAAACAAAATTTAGAGCCAAAATTAATCATCACTTATATGTCCTAAAGGAAATTAGAAACTATTATTTATATAACTGAATGCAAAAGCAAATCTTCAAATCCAACATGTTATATACATGTGTGTCTAGTTTTAAAGAGGATTTTTCTTGTAAAATCTAAAATACTTTCTCATTTTAAGCAATGCTACATTTAATCATTGAAATATCAGTTTGAATTTTAGGGTGGTACGTTCTGTGTTTTACATTCCTAATAACATCATAATAAGCTGACTTGTAACTTTGAAAATTTAACATCAACCATATTATTAGTGGAAATCATTAAACAAAATGAATTAATTAAAAATAAATCTAATTACCCAAAATGAAATCATTAGTGAATTATTAGTGAAAGAACATGACTTATTTATTTTCCACTTATTTATTTTCCATCTGCTTCACAGATGACTTTTTAATGCTGATCGGTTGCTAAATATTTAAGTCACACATTACTATTGAGTGGATTGAATAAATTCTATTGAATATTCCTCTAAATTAAAAATATTCAATGTCTGAGTCTCAAAATCTCAGTTGTGTTATGGTATTTTTACATTTCTCAGGTGACGAGTTGAATTGCTACAAATTTATGAATTTGATAGAGAAGCTAATCATTGGTCAAGGAGGAAAGGCATTTTTTAAACCATAGCAACAACAGCAATCAAAGTGTCACCAGAGAAGTGGCAAAAGAAAGATTAGTGTCAGTTGCGTTTACCCAAAATTTGAAGTTGGTAGCTTGAACTACTATGTTTCAATGCAAATAGAAAAAAATAGAAATATTTGAGATGTATTCTGGAGGTCTTGCTGTTGATAATTGCTGGTAGACTGGTCAGATATAAAAATCAAAAGCATTAATTAAGGATAAGTAAATTTACTGAGCAACTAAAATTCGTTAAATTTTAAGGAGAGAATTAATTTGGAAATTGCTTCAGGGAAAGAATCAAGAACATTGATCTGATGAACCAAGTTCCAGGAGATTGATCTCTAAACAAAGTCATTAAATAGGCGCTTCAGGTATGTCTTTGAAGATTAAGTCAGTTTGTTTCTACTGGTATAAAAATTGGAATAATTAGCGGCAAATTACTTTTAAAGCTTTAGAATTACGTAAGTTTATTTAGGCAAATGCCATAAAAAAATGAGCATAACAAAGGTCAGAATCTAGTCCCAAATAAGTCCAAAACAAGAAACAAAACAAAGACAAAAAGCAGTAACAAATGGAGAAAAAAAACAGAAGTTTTTGTATTTGGATATACATAATTGAGTATACTTTTATGAGAAGTTGAACAATATATTTATGAACAATTACATGCTTCAGTTTGTTTCTGAAAAAAACTTTATTTTGTCTCTGGACATGGGTTCTTAAGCAGTGCTGAGCAAGCTTTAGTTCATTCTTGTTCATATCTAGCTATACTTGTAAAAGCAGCGTAAATCTGGGTCTTATTTTTCTTGTCAGAGTTATTTGATTCTGTGGAAATGTTTCATATGAACTCAGAGCTAGTAAAAGGTAGACGATACACATTATGTATAGTTAGATATTTTATCATAAGAATTATACCATATTATTATCTTTTCCTTGCTTCCTCTCTTGAAAAATTTCCTATGAGAAATCCCAGTCAATATTTTTTCTCTTCCCCAGGAAATATGTGTTTCATTTTATAAATTTTTATCTGAATTGATTTTACAAATTAGTGATGTTATTGAATGCTTCCCCTTTAAAGTTTGTGAGATTTTTATTCAGGATATTGTCACTCACTTTTCTTTGCAAGTTGTTACACTGCATAATAGGTATTTTTTAAAAATTTTATTTAAGGAGAAAAATTTTAAAAAAACAGAAAAACGGTACAAGTCATACAGAATTTCAGAAAGAATAAACAGTTGGAAATCACTAGTTAATAGATTACATATTGTTATCTTAGAAATAGTTGTTCAAGCCACAAAACCAAAGCATACAAAGTGGACTCTCAAACAGTGAGACTACAAACAGTTTTGTTCAATGATCCAACAAAACTCAGTAATATGGTTATCTATCCTATACACTTAAGTATACATGCAGTTATATCCTCTAGAAAGTGCTCTATCCTAGAGCACTTTCTTTTCCTTTCTTTTGTACAATGACAATTACACATTTTGGGTTTTATTACTCCCACAGTTCTTATTACTTTTTCTTGAAGAGAGTAAAACCAAATGTGACATAACAGAACAGAGTCAGTCAAATCAAAAGGATGGACATAATAGATAATGTAAAAACAAAATACAAGGTGATCAACAATGGTTTCCATACTGCCTCTTGCTATCTTAAAAAGAATTGCCTATATTATCAGTTATAATAAAATTGAGCAAAACAGTAAAGAATAAAACCAAAACATTGGAGACATGACAGGATGTTAAAAGAAGATAATAGTCAACCAGAATGGGCATCATAATGAAACTTACTGTTTTCACAGTTGTTGCCTATACTTTCAAACTTGGTACTATCAAGCAAAGCAGAATAGGGGAAAATCAGTCAAAACAAGATGGTGAGGGCAATACAGGGTTTCAAATCAAGTTAATAGGAAATCAAAGTGGGTTACTATAATGTATCCTGCTATTTTTTATTTATTTTCCCTTAATTAAAAAGATAAAAATAAAAAAATAATTTAAAAAAGAGATTGAGATAAAAGAGGGCATAACAACAAAACAGTGCAGGTCATAGCCATTTAAGCAAAATAATGTTTCACCACAAGATATCCTGGCATAAAAGTAGTTACCATAGTGTCTCTTTCCTTGAAATCTTTGAGTATAACTTTGTATACTGTAGCACCAAACATATCATGACAATGTAAAACCATTCAAGAGAATGACAGTATTACAGGGTATTTAGAACCAACTATCATAAAATGAACAATGATTTCATTATAATCTCTTTGTCAATAAAATTTTTGCTTATATTATCACATATAATAAAATCCAATAGGTATGTTACTTTTACAGCTCCATTTTAAAAATTGTTCCCACTTTGGGACATTTAAAAATTGAATCAAATATTTACTTTTTTTGGTTGACATATAAACTCATTTTATCTGATTTTATTAACTTTATAGTTAATGTCTTCCTATTTGTTTCATTAATTCCCTTTTTTCATTTTTTCTTTCTTTTTGCCTTTTGCTATATGTGTAGACTATGTTATGTTTTCCGGTTTTTGCAAGAGAATAAATGAATCAGTTTGTCAAATAGGTCCTCCAACTTTCCAGTGGTCAGGATTTGCTAATAATTTGAAAGATCAGGGCTTCCTGTGGGTCACATAAGTCCAGCGAAGGCTTGGAGCTCTCCTCTTCACCTGGGGGCCAGGCTCTGGCTCCCTGTTGGTCCAGTAAGATCAGCAGAGGCAGGGAACACTGCCCTAGTCTGGAAAACTGTTTTCTTTGCCTGGGGCCCAGGATCCAGCTTCCTGTGGGTCCAGTAAGTCCAGTGGAGGCTGGGATTCTCTTCTTTGCCTGGGGGCCAGGCATTGGGTTCCTGTCCATGGAGTAAGTCCAGCAAAGGCAGGGAACCACACCCCAGCCTGGCAAACGCTTTTCTTCACCTGGGACCCAGGATCCCACTTCTTGTCGAAATCAGTGAGTAAGAAGGGAGCAGGGACCTCTGTCCCAGCCTGGCTGACCTCTCTACCTCACTTGGAACAACACTTGAAGCTCAAAAATATAGGAAAATGACAAAACATAGGACCAAAATGCAGTCTCAAACATCCAGCCCATCCCAAGAAAGCCTAGGAGCCAAGTGCATGGAAGAAGATATATGCCACATTCCTGAAATACCTGAAATAATAGTAACTGAAATAAAGAATCAACTCTGGGAACACTTAAAGGAAATCAAACTAGAAATAATCTCTCAGGTAAAAGAAGAAATGATAAAAGAAATGAAGGAGATGCTGAACATATCTAAAGAAGACATAGTTTAAAAACTTGAGGAGATAAACAAAAAGATAGAATCCCTGGATGGACAATATAAGAAACAAACAGAATACATAAAGCAAATGCAAAGGGATACACAGGAAATTAAAAACTCATCGAAAGTTGTAAAAACTGCCTCAGTGAATGTGAAGATAGAATTTCCTACCTTGAAGACAAGATTGCAGCCACAGAACAGGAAAGGAAAGATCTTTTAAAAATAACAAGAAATCAGGAATTAACAATTTAACACCTGCAAGATGACACAAAAAGGAACAACATAAGATTAATAGGGATAAATGAAAAAGAAGGGAACAACATAAAGGATGTCAAGAGGATATTTAGAGAAGTAAGAGCTGAAAATTTCCCAAACATGAGACTGTAAACTGATATCAAGATCAGTGAAGCATTTAGAACTCCAAATAGCCATAACCAAAATAATACTATACCCAGACACATAGTAATGGCCATCCCAGAAATCAAACAAAAGAATAGAATATTAAAAGCTGTAAGAGAGAAAAGACAGATCACCTATAAAGGAAAACCTATCAGAATTACAGCAGACTTTTCAGCACAAACAATAAAGTCAAGAAGAGCATGGAGCGAAGTATTTCAGATCCTAAAGGAAAATGATTTCCAACCTAGGTTGATGTATCCTGCAAAACTGTCCTTCAAAATGGATGCAGAAATAAGATACTTCCATGACAAAGAACAGCTGAAAAACTACATGATCACCAAGCCAACCCTAGAAAGAATACTGAAAGACAGCATAGATGCATC